TTTATATCTCACAAATGATACCCCAAAGTTGCACATAATATTTAACAAAGGTAGGTTAGATTCCATATTATATATGCACGGAAATATTTAATAATTATATTTCAATAAACACTGTATAAGTAAATTTACATAAATATTATAATGAATTTATTATAAAAGAGCTTATTTGTCAAACATATATTTTAAAGAAAATTTGTTTAACGCATGATATTTTTGTAAATAAACCAACAACTTTATTTAATTGTGGAACCTACAATAATGAAAAAGTTATTGATTTATTCACGTAAATGTCACCATGAGAAACAAATTTCGTTTTACAATTTGAGAAACAGGGAATTTTCTATTTTAAATACGCGATTGACTATGTACAATACTAGTTTTGTTTCCAGGCGATGCCAAGATGGTTGATAAAATTTTAAGATAACATTTTTACTAAATACAATCAAATAATTCACTTTAATAATGTAGGATATTTAGGCATACGGTATCATATGACTTAATTTATACATGAAAGTACTTTTTGTAGTTTTATTTGTAAATAGATATCTATGTTATTATTGACCTTGAAATTATTTTTATTGAACTTTAATTATTTTCACTAAACTGAAAGTATTTTTACCGAACTAAAATTATTTTTACCTATTAATTTTTTTTTTCGATTCTCTAATATTTTTAAAAATAAACTAAATTACAATGCATTTTCTATGCGGCTAGCCACACCATTTCGTTGGACAAAGTAACCCCTTTAAAACTAATTGATTAATCCTTGTAATACAAACTAAGTAATAACCTCTAACGCTTACTAAGTAGCCCCTATTTATAACACTACTTGAGTAATAACCACTATAACACTAACCAAGTAACCCCTCGACCTGTAGCACTAACGAAGTAATTCTTGTAATAGTTAGTGACACAGTTTGGCCAGCTACATATAAAAGTTTGTAATTAAATATATTATAAATAGATCTTATTTTAAAGAAAATTTTGTTTCGGGGTTTTCTATGTCCCTCGGGAGAGTTACGTCACCAAAACTGGATTCCGAGCCTTCTGTACATGCAAAACAACGGAAACTCTGGTTGGACAGAATTTCGCCTCCGACGATCAAGTTAGTCGAGGTTCGGAGTAAAAAGATGCGGAAAAGTAAATATCCTCTCGCATTTCGAGATCAGGTGTCTCTTTGTTTTTGAGAGTAATAAATGATGTAATGATTGAACATTGCCCTAATAATGGGGGAATCCCCCTATTTATAGGATCCTACAAGTTTGTGCCCTTGTCTTAGGGTTTGATGACCTAGGAACATGGGCTGCATTGTTTTGCATGCGGCGGTCTCGGGAATTGGGTCTTGAAGACCGCCAATTCCTGATGGGATATCTTCCTGCCATGTGTCGTACTCTAATTGGTTCATTTAGAGACCTTCTTGGAGTGACACATATCACGCTCTAAGAGGTTCACGTGGTAGGGTAAAAACACCCAAAACACAAATACTCTCACCAAATTATTCTCAATCAATTTGCTACTATACTGAAGATCTATCATTTTCTCATTCCCTTATTTGTTTTAAATCTTTATATCTTTATTTTTTTTTCAATCCTTGAATTGAAATATTTCTCAATGCTTTTGGATTGTTTGGAAAAAGAAAAGTCACCACTCCAATTCACCAAGCAAGCAAACTAATTGTATACAATATTTCTTTCTTTCTGATTTTCTTAAGGTTGAGATCAATGGAAAAATTTAAAGCATTAAATTATTGTTTTTTGGTACTTCATTTGGTAAATATAATAACAATAATTTTAATAGTATTCTCTTAATTTTATTTATTTATTTATTTATTTATTTATTTTTATTAGGGTCCAATTTTTAAGATTAGAACATGGCCTTACCTCAAAAATGTATAAGATGGCCCTGAAAATAAGACACAATAGATTTAGATGTTTACTTTGACATTTTTTTTTAATAATAGTGGAGTAGTGTCGCCTTTACGTCAACCTAAATCCGCTTAAATCTGAATTACATGCTCCTAAAACCGAATACAATATCAAGTATTACACTTCAATCAAGTTATCCAAATCAAATAGCCATTATATTCTTATGATAGGTTATGTGAGATTAAGCTTTTTTTTTTTTTTTTTTTTTTACAAAAGATTAAGCTCACTAATCACTCATCAAGTCATCCCTCAAGTAGGATTCTAGATGCTAGTATATGTTACTATGTTAGTCATATTGGCCGTGACAATGGGGTTTGGTCCTTGATTCTTTTTGACCCTATTTTGTTTGTTTTCTTTTTGTACTATTTGGTATATTGCCTTTTTTTTTTTTTGGTCTATTCTCTTGCAATTATTGGCCAATTTTGGATTGTAAATCAAAAGTTTTCAACACGGTTACCGACTAAGCATGTAGCACTCTACGTGCAAGTTGCACTATAGAGAAGCGCCAACATTGTCTGACCATATTGACTTTACTTCAGGGAGAAACTATGTACAAGTAGTATTGGGGTAACCATTTTTAAATAACTCCAACTTGTTTGACAAGCTAGAATAATTGAGAGAGTTTCTTTTAGAAAAAACTTCTTTTGCTAGTCTACTCTCAAGTAGAATATAATGATAATGAAAGAGCAAAGTATTTGTTTGGAAATAGAGAGATTCCCTTACCTCAGGCAATCAGGCCCTTCTTCTATTCTTAAGTGTTGATTTGTGGAACTAAGCTGGCTTAACGGTGTGGAAGGTGCTGATTTAGTATGATTCTTCATCTCAATTTAAAATAAAAAGATTATCATGAGTAAAATTATGAGGTAATCCGGTATACATATCATACTATGAGATTATGGAGCCAAATTTCATTGTATTTGGTAGCCTGACATGCTAAATGGAATATTCAATGAGATAATGACATTTTAATTGTATTTTAATTGGTAGCCTGACATGCTAAATGGAATATTCAATGAGGTATCTTTAGGGCCTGTTCCGATTTACTGAATTCATTAAGATGTTAGTTATATTGGGCAACATATTGTCTTATGTTCAGGACCTCCAAAAATCGGGAGGGATGCTCTAACCACTTGAGCTATTCCTCACTCTCATATCCACCCTATAATTAAATTGACACCTATACTTTTTAAGTTGAAAATAATATATTATCTTAAATTATAACACCAGTATGTATTAATGAAAGTAATATTATAAAAAAATTATCTAATTATCTTGTTGATCATATATTACTAAGGGCCTGTTTCGCATTAGCTTTTAACGTAGTTGTTAGCTTTTAGACCTAGTTAAAACACTACCTTAAATTAATATTAGTGTTTGGTGAAGTAGTGTTTTAAGTAGCTGTTAGAGGTAGAGGTAGCTTTTAAGTACCTGTTGTTGAAAGTTAGAAAAGATAGCTTTTGAAATTGTAAAGTAGCGTTCAACCTTTTTTTTTTAATGAACTCTTCTTTTTTTTTTTTTTTATGCTTTTATCTTTTTGGCTCAGTCTTATTTGTTTCAGTCAACCATAATATCAAAATTTTCTATTCATATCTTTTTTTCTTTTTTTTTTCCTTTCATTTTTTGAGGAATATTTTTTTTCTATCTTATTTTTTATACTGGTTAGTTATTAGCAATATGTATTATACATGTAATATTTAAAATAATCAAACATTTGATACATAACACGTCATAATAATAATAATAATAATGACTGTATTTTATAGTTTCAATCCCTACTTTTACCGAACACTCATAGTATGAACCGCTACCTTACACAGCTGACCTCTAACAGCTACTACTTGACAGCTCACAGCTACCTCTACAGCTCAAAGCTACTCAAAAACTAATAGCCAACAGCTACAGCTAGTTTTGCCGAACAGAACCTAAAAGTCTAACACTCAATCCCACTTTTAAAGTTATCATAACTTATAAGTAGTGAGAGTTTGAGAGCAATCATTCTCATCAAACTTACAAATTCCTTAACTACCAACTTATAAATAAATTGATTGTTGGCATTTAATTACCCTCTAGTGTCACATTGTCACTTATTCAACAAATCATTACTTGTATTAGTTTATGACAAATTAGGAGGAAATAGAGAATAGAATGGCTTGTATTGCTTATTATTCATCAATATACAAAACCTAAAATCATAAGATTGGAAACAATCTTCCTAAAAGATATCTACCATAACCATATATCCTAAATATTTACTAAATATTATCTTTAATATAAATAATAATACTAATTATATATTATTTTTCTAATCATATCTACGGAAAATATATCACATATATAATTTTCGATATCCTATATCGTAATAATCCTCCCACAATCGTAACGACAGTAACATGAACGTTGCGATTGGAAATTCCTCACTTTGTCGAAGTCGATCGAGATGCAGTACTCTGTTGATTCGCCCTCTTTTTTTTCTTTTTAAATGATGAGAACGTTAGCAAAATTGAGTTCTAATCAAATGTTGATTTTTCAGAGTAAACCACACTCGTTCATTCAAGTAACCTCTATTCTTTTATTTTAAAAAAAAATAAAAGAATAGTTCCACTTATTTAAGAGAGTATCCCCTTTTTCTCATTTAAGTAACCTACATACATTAGGTAACTCCATTTGCTCATCAACGTAACCCCATATTACTTAATTAATTGTCTTATACTCTTATATATGATTATATAAAGTGGTCACACCATGTGGCTAGTTACATATAAGAATATGTGAAGTAGTAGAGTGACTTTAGACCTTAGTAATCAAAATCCAACTAATTTATCAGATGTATATCGAATATTTGACTTGCATGCTCCTCAGATCTCACAAGCGACTAGGGTAATTAAGCTTGAATCAATCTAGTAAATAATTAGCTTGAATTAATCTAGTGAATAATTAGCACAAATTGCGGACTGTACGGTCGCCACATTATGACATAGCCATGGGACGACAAACGACACAAAGCAAACACAAAGTCATACATTCAAATATTACGTTGTTATTATTAAAAAAAACAAACAAAAATCAAACTCTTTGACAATTTTGACAAGTCAACCAATTATTATAATCAATATTCAAATAATTCGGTTATTACTTCCAAATTCCCATTTCTTTAAAAGCCACAATTTATTTCCTCAACTATATTTCTACATAAATAGATAAAAGAAAGTTGGTCCAATCTAATCCAATATTATTTCTCATCACAAAAGTCCAATATTAGATATTAATGAAAAAATTGTTGTAAAAATTTCCAAATATGATGAATGAGTTTAGTTTAGATAAAGCTAATGAATGGAGTTTACAAGCTATTATCAAAGGTGATGGTTCGGTCAGCACTACTAGTAGTAACACCATGAACATGTCACCTTGTTATGATGCTTGGTTTGAATCGTTATTATTAGGCCTCGATGACAATCAAGGTGGTCAAGAGAACACGATGCTCATCTTCAATGAAGAGCTCGAGCCACTTAATCATAGTATTTCATCTAAGTCTCCAAATAACATTGTTGATAGTTCCGTGTTGATGAACTTTGATGTGTACACTAGTAGTCCTACACGCGAGCCAAAGGAGAAGGCAACCGGTGTCTCATATGTTCATGCTCCAGCAACCATATCGAAAAGAAGGTTTGTTAGAGTTTTCATCCATTCAATTGACTTTGAAATAACTATACATGGTTACTCGCTCTTTTAAATTTTTTCTAATGGTTTCTTGTATTTAAATAGGAAAAACAAACATAAAATCATAAAGGTGGTTCAACAAGCAGGAGCTGATCGCGTTGAGTCTGATAAATGGAATTGGAGAAAATATGGAGAAAAAGTCATCAAGGGTTCCCCATATCCAAGGTTTATTACTTATTGCTATCTATCAAACCCTTTCACATACATAATATTCAAATCAAATATGCTAGCTTTTTGTATTAATTAAGATTGAGTTTGTTGTTGGTCAACTTATTATTATTTTTACATGTGATCCAGCCTAAAGAACTTCAATGATGAGTTGATGGACCTTTTCTCTTACAAATTACGCTAATTTCAAATTATTATTAAAAAATAGAACTAAACATTAAATCAAGACTTCTAGGAGTGTCTTAAAATTATCTCATATACTATGTAGTTTGTATGTTGCAACTTTTTGAATAGATTAATCAATTAATTTTTCTGTATTTTTGAATGAATTTGCTAAGCATAGTCTTAATTTAAAAAGGGTAAGTATAAATGTTGGATTTTTAAAACTTCAATTATTAATGCTAAATTGTGTGTTTGCCTTGGAAAAACAGGAGCTACTATAGATGCAGTTATACAGGAGGGTGCTTAGCAAGAAAGCAAGTGGAGCAAAGCATTAGTGATCCAGGATCATTCCTGATAACCTACATGGAAGAACATTCACACCCTTATCCAACTCGTCGCCATTCTCAAGCTGGCCGTTGTGCTCGTAGGTTTATTCGTTCTTCTCCAACCAAAGTTGTCGCGACAAGTGAATCACAACATGCCTTGGTGAGGACTATAACCTTAGAATCATCAACTAAAATTGACCGAGGTTTAGTTGTGCAAGGTAATGAGGATGATGGAAGCATTACAGATTATGTAGGAGAAGGTGTTTGTATGGGAAATAGGGTGCATGAAGATGATTTTTTTGCAGGGTTAGACTATTTGGAAGAATTGAAAAATGGAAGTTTGTGATTAAATCTTTCTTGGATAATCATTCAATTTTGATCTAAGCTAGCTGTGTGTTTATTTCAAAGGTTAAATATAATGCAATGATGTTTTATCTCAAGTCATATATATGCCCTTGGATCATTTGTAAGCATCTATGTATATTGTACTAATTAGATGTAATTATGTGTAACAAGAAATTTTATCTTTAGGGATAAAGTTTATATTATGATCGAGTTTCAAAAATTAGTTTATGTTTTTGGTTGAATTAGTATTCTAATATGGAACGGATCTAGAGCTAGGGTAGTCCTCGGACATTTAGAAATCAAAATCTTATGATAATTTGTTCATCCAGCTAGGCCATAATTACTTTCATCTAGTTAATTAATTTGAATAAGATGAGTAAAATACCTAAATGAAGAGAGGAATCTAAATAATTGAATTCACAAACACTCAATAAAAAAATCATTTATTTGAGGAATAATCTAAATGCATGCTCCCAAATTGAACGTCAAATCATATTAGTTACTCCGTATAGTATATATCAAATACCAAGTATTAGTTACCTGTATATATATATACATTCCCTTATTGAACTAAATAATACAAAGTATATTCTTCTCCTTTGACCTTATTTTTTTTCTAAAAAGAAAGTAAAGCATCTAAATGAGAAGAATATAAGGAATTACGTACTAAGTAATTAACACAAAAGAGAAGCAATTTTGAACAAAACAACTAGAATAATTATTGCAATTATTTAAACATGAATAGCAAACATCATATATATATGTTGTACGTATGTATGTATGGGTACAATGTATACAAGCGAATATATAAATAATAATTTTACAACCATCCATGCCTAATATTGTAAAATTTAACATGTTACATGTATACAATATATGCTAATAGAATAATCTTAGCTTATATCCTTTCATGTTTTTTGCAGTCATCCATGCATGCTATACTAGTTATACATGCTTGATGCCCAATTCAATTATTTTAAAATGATATAGGATTATATGTATATTACATTGTCTCGGCCACATCTGAGGTCTCATTAGTCTTCCTCAAGTTCAAACATTCTGCTGAATGATCACCGGATAGCAAAGGCGCTATTGAACCAATAAAAGCAGCATTTAGGTAAGTAGTGGGCTCTGAATGGGTGTGGTCTGATCTCACATCCTTGAACTGATCGTTTGCATCGGGTCCTCCAACGACGGCTCCAACGTGGACATTAGGGTTCGGTTTGTTACTGTTGTACCAACTCGAGTAGCCCTGGTTGCAACCTACCTTAGCTGGTTGAGCCATAATGGATGGGATTGAGGCACCTCTGTGGTGCACTTGTTGTGGGAACTTGCTTCCAAATCCCACCATGTAGGACATTTTATTAGGGTTATTTCCTAGAATATAATCCACCTACAATAAAAAGATGGCCACGTTACCCTTAATAATTGTTACGGAGTATTTTAAATGTCAAAGCACACATTATTATAAATTCTATATCAACATATACCAAATACCAATATATCATTACTTGTCAGTTTTAAATACCAATGTAATAACTGAACACAGTATCTCCTAAAAAGTTGTGCAAAACCTTTATCGTCACATATAATTAAGAGAAAGCAAACCTGTGATTTTGTGAAGGCTGTAAGTTTCGAAAGAGCTAGATTAGCCGAGCCACATTTGACACCAGAAATATTCGCCTGTTTCAGAGCTTTAGTATAGATTGAGATGATCATTGATGCACTTGTCACGTATTGCAAATTTGCGGCATCCCTAACAAATAGAAGTCCCCCTGATATCCAGAAATCGAAGAAGAAACAAATCAAATCAAACAAACATCTTTGCATATTAATTTGAAGATATAGAAGTTTAAATACAGCTATTATTGGTACATACCAGGCGTTGTTTGAAACTGGGCAGAACCACTTTCAGGCACAATCGAACATACGAATGAGTCTGCTTTACTTTTATAATCACTCAGCATCCTCTTGCCTGCCAAGAATTCCTGAAACAATAATGAGAGCCTTGGTTTATTTTCAATTTGAACTTGTACAAACACACGTACACGTGCCTCGTGCTAGGCCAGCCACCTATCTAAGGTGTCAACATCCTCTGCCTCTAGGGAGGAACGTGATCGAAGTTGTTATCAACTCAACAATCCTAGAATCTCTTATTATTCAATAATATATGATGAGATATACTCAAAAGGCTTAAATTAATGTTTCGTACGAAATAAGCCTTTGATAACATTTAAGGTTAGTATAGGACTGAAAATCTTGTACACAATTTGAATGATAGTTGGTATATATATGTACCTTGGCTAGCAAAATTTGAACCCCGGCATACTTGTTATCCCAACTGAATTCCGAAACTGCCTGACTCCATCCTTTATTGCTCGAAACGTAGTTCAAGTATTTGCTGTTACCACTTGCCTTATAGAGCCATGCTGCAGCCCATAGAAGCTCATCCTACACAAATTAAATTACACAAGCTATTATCAATGTTACGTCGAAATTAGCATGATATATTCGAAGGATCATGTAATAGACATACTTAATGAGTTAAACTACCTGATAACCAGAATAAGAGCAATAAAAAGGGCAAGAAGCAGAATAAGATCCTCTGTACTTGTCTGCAAAGTCAAAGAGCTGCAAAACCAACAAACATACGTACGTGTGTACAACTTAATTACTACGAGTACTTCGAGTTATTAGCAGTATATTTTATAAAATGGATAAGTTTTTGCAATTTGAGCTGTTTCTTACAGATTGTGAATGTTGTAAAAGCTTAGAAGAATAGGTGGAATCAACGGCTTTGAACACAATTGATGCAGCTGCTAAGGCAGCAGAGGCATCTGCGGCGGCTTCTGTTCCGGGGGACGAAGACGTGATCTTGTAGAGTGTTCTTGGTGTGTCCATGTCTTCTGGGCGTTCCCAGCATGCATGATCTGCGTCTCCATCTCCTACCTGCTTAAATTTATCACTTCAAAATTATTACAAAGTGATATAGTATAAAACATATTCTTGGGCTTCAACCATCAGCTTAAGCTTGCAGTATTTAAATTAAAGTTTAAGTAATTTAATTTGGAACTACGCTCACTCCACCATATACCTTCTTTATCCCACGCCAAGTTTCAAAATAATTGCAACACTAAATAATTAATTAAATTAGCAAACATGCCTGTGTGTAGAGGGTGGTAGACGAGGTATGAGATTTTAAGATGAAATCGGAACCCCAACGAATGGCTTGGCGAAGGTAATCAATCTGTTTGGCTGAAGAAATTTCAGAGTTATGCTCAATTGCTGCCCAACTTAATAAGGTTGTTGTAAATGACATTGGCCACCCAAACTTCACATTATCTCCTGCATCATAGTATCCTCCTACCAAGTTCACCTGCCATTTATATTGAAAAAACAAGAATTAGAATGTAGGACGTACGATTTAATTAGTTTCTAGGGTACGATTATAAAGATCTACCAAATATGTTTCTTATGAGCTACATACAATTCAAATACGAGTACATTGAAGTGTAGGACATGGCACTACATGTCATGATATCATGTTGGGGCTAAGGTTTGATTCCTTAACCTCTCATATGTACGGATAATGAGCATAAAAAGTACAAGATTTTTTATTGTGACAACACTACGTATTAATAATATGTATTATAAAATTAAAACTCTAACCATTCACTATGTGGACTATTTTGCAATTTAAATTCAATTATATATATTATGCTTATTTTATTATTTTTATTTTATACTTGCATATAAATAACTCAACGATAACTAATCATTTTTAAAGGTCAATTTTATATACAAATAATAACTAGAATATATCCTACAAATTTAAGCGCAACCTAAACAACAACAAAAATGATGCTGGCAAGTTTGTAAATATATATGTATGTATAACTTACATTATCAGATTTGCCATCATTTAGGGCAGAATCACCTCTCCACTTGACTCTTCGGCTCGCCGGCAACTTACCCGACCGTTGTCCTTCAAAGAATAAGATCGCTTTACCTAAGGCATCTTTGTAGTTAGAATTAGCTTGATTGCACACCTTATCATTTTGCCCCTTAACTAGCTCTACACAACCAAAGAAGGTGCAAAAGAATGTCACAATTATCATTAGCATCATCATCATTAACTTAGCCATGTAACTAACTCTTAAATTTAATGAGTTTATTATATTATTGTACTTGTAAACCCATATTTCGTTAGCATCATGTATTTATAGGACTAGGACCATACCATGCATGATTGTACCACGTACATGTAAGTCTATATTTAATTAATTTGTCTTTAATTTTATTTTTCAAAGGTGTATGTAAGATAGACGTACTTTTTCAGTTTTACCCCAAAGTCGTTAAATAATTATGAAATGATGAAGTCATAAAATATGTGAACGTAACGTATGGATTTGGGAAATGGAAACTATTTAAGTCACACTTAGATTTTTGCTCTCGATCTGTCGCTATATTATATCAAACATGTTATTAATTAGGCTAGTATGGTATGTACCTAACAAAATAGTTGAATAAAAATTAATAAAGCATTGTTAAGTTGAATATTGAGTTAGATTTTTGACCTTTTTGGCTTAAATTAACTGTTTTAATTCCCATGCATGTACCGCGAATAGTGCTCCATGCTTTTTAGTTAATTACCAATGAATTGAGTACGATCATTATCAATGACGCACAATTGTACATTGTAAACATATTTACTACAAATATTGAAATATATTGCGGCATGTTCAACATATAATTTAGAGGTGATCAATAATGATCTGGTATGATGGTCCGATCTGACAAGTCTAAAAAAATAAAGATTTTTATGAATTCCTATAAATACATGTTTTTTTCTTAAGAAGTGTGTTTCGATCGATCACCATCGCCTTTGATTGGTTAAAGATTATTAGGCTTCAATACATTACTAGTAGGCACTCGCATTGTACAATAAAATAATTGCGTGTTCACTCTAGTTTGTAATTATGAACTCATGAGTGCATAGTGCTCTTATAAGTGCATGATAGTCCAGAATTGTTAATTATGAGGGCTATCATTACAATCTAATAAAAGTATTGAGATCTTATACTCTACAAATTTAACCTATCTAACATGTACCGTTCAACTTGAAGATCAATGGGAAAAATGGAAAATGTTATTTTTTACTCCATTATAAATTTAAAGGTTTATCCTATGCTTTTTTTGGAGTGAAGGAAAATAATTCATCAATGAAAGTGGTAAGATTAGATTATAGGTCTTCTAAAAGTAAGATTCTTTTTTAGCAAACAATTTTTTGCTGCTGACGCATTTGCATATAATATTGCCCATACATTATCTTTCCCGGCCTCCCTTGATTAATTACGTACAATGTATGCACAATTTAGTATATCAGTAGAAAAATTCAATAATCATTCCTTCAAATACTTGTATATGAATAGTTGAAGGTAAGGACTAATAGATGTCAGCAATGCATGTGGTTGTATGGAAAACTATCACGTTACATTCTGCTGGTTTCGTGAGGATATGAAAGACTAGGTTTATAGCATAGGATGGTGTAGCGCACATATGTTGATAAAATTAATTAAAGGAGGTATTTTTTGTAAGCATTATATTATCCGCTATATATGAACAAAAGATAGTTAAATTTATACTTAATATTAGAATGAAAAAAAAAATTATCGCCACTTAAGCAAAAGCCACGAATGATCTAAGTAAATAGGTAAAGGGCGTGTTCGACAAAATATAAATATGGAAGTAACTGTTAAATTAGTTGTGGCTAGTAGCGTCTTTCTATAAATATTAAAAAAAAAAAAAAAAAAAAGTTGTGGCTAGTAGTACTTCAGTGTACAAGTAGTTGTTAGTTGTGGACTTGTGTTAAATTAGATGAGTAGTAAGTTATTACTCCCTCTATTTCAATATATGCTACTACCTGACCTATTTGGAATTTTTTGTACTCCCTTCGGCTCAAAATAACCTTACTTATGCAGATAATAAATAACGAATAATGACCAAAATAATCTTTTGTACTCCCTTCGTCTCAACAGATTATTTCAATATATGCTACTATCTATTTGTACCAAAAATAACTGCTTGGGTTATTTTCGAGTCGACTAGGGTCAGTTTTTGAACTCTACTTATTATCAATTAGAATGAAACCCTATCAATCTAATATGTGTGTTAGATCTATCTCTGGCATAGGTTCGTGTTCAACCCAATGAAAGTTTATCCGGAGACGAGAATAAATTAAAGCTAAGTTTTTCAATAAAAAAAATGAATTTAAAAAACTCTAAAAAGTAGCACATCTTAAGAATAACAATTTAAAAATAGTAATTGAAAACAAATTTTGCGTACATATCTAGGTTTAGCACAGAAACATCACGTCACTAAATCATTTACTATAATTAAGAGATTTTTGTATCATAAATGAAGTTGAGAAAATCTACAACAAAATTTAACGAAATAGATACTTGTGATTCAAGTATCATTAAGAGAGCATGATATGCAATAATCATAGTGTCTAACTTGTACACCAATAAAAATCCTTTTCTATTATTTAAAGTTATATATTTCTTAAATAGCCTTGTTTCGATTTCTTGTTTCTATAAACTCCTTACGTACCAATTCTAATTAGCCCATGCTACCATTTTTTCTAAACAACTTGATCCAATTTGATAGGTTTAAATTCACCTAAATCAACAAAACTAGAAAACGTGTTCCTTAATTAACCATTTGATAAGCTTAACTAATTAATTAAACCCCCCTTGGTCGCCAAACTTGTTAAAACATTCTTTTGGGTCAAATTATATGCATTTTTCAGTTTACTTCATCAAGAAGCTCAATTCATATTTGATCAACTAGAGACAAGATAGGCTATCCAATATAGTTTATGTTTACAAGTTATTCTCAAACTAAGATAAGATTTTATTTGATTTTGACATGATAATAAGGTGTTTTTAATATTATGGATATATACCACTTATTTTTGTTGGTTTCTTTTACTATTTTTTTTTATGTATAAATGGATTTACTGATATCTAGTAATTTTACTAATGATGCATATATGATGGTAGTAGGGTACTAATAATGGGAACAAATAAAGGTCATATGAGGATGAAACTTCTATGAAATTTTACACCGGTTTAGTAATTTGACAATAAGTAGATATTAATGAAATTTTTTTAAAAAAAATAAAAAGTTATATAATGAAACTTTATACCAATATGTATCTGATAACATATTTTATGATAAAATATATTGTTGCTACGTTAATAGTACGTTAATAAAAAAAACTATAGTCAAAGCAATTATATGAATAATGAAAAAAGTCCAACATAATTGTTATTCTCGGACAGAGGCTAGGGAGTATTAGGTAAGACAGTAGGTCAACAAGTAAAAGTTTGGGTGCAATGAGACGAGCTTGCCACATTTTTGACGGGTGAAACGCATTCTAAACTTAGACTTCCAAGTCTGAGATCCAGCATCTGAGATTCAATATTGCCCAAACTCTGACTAGCTCATTGCTGCCTAAGATCAAAGACTCATTAACCCAAAATTATTAAGCCAAGATCTTTTCACATAGTCATTGGTAGCTCACCACTTATGGTAAGCCTACTAAAACATCGCAACCAGTGGCGGAATCAGAAGAAAATATATATATATATATATATATATATATATATATATATATATATATATATATATATATATATATATATATATATTAGGATGGCCAAGTTTGATATTAATTTTTTTTTCACTAAGGCCAAATTCTTTTGGATATGAAGGGCCAAGTTTGAAAATATATTTTTAATCTTTTTCTTATTACAAAGCTTAATACTAATAAAAAATGAAAATTCTTTTATAAATCCTAAAGCCCAATAACTATTTCTTATGGTGAATAATTAGTAACAATTTGCAAAATTTGTTTAAAAAGTAAGCTAAGGGGGAGGGTCGGGAGGCCATGCATGGCCTACCCCATCCCCTCCTTGGCTCTGTCGCAACGCTAGCTATAGAAAATAGAAGGAAATTTGGAGAGAGAATCTGTAGGATTATATTTATGTAAAAGAGTAAAATGAAAATGTACCAATAAATGATGTTCTGACAAGCCTATTTATACAATGGTTAGTTATAACCAACTAACTAACTAACTTAATATTAAATATCATCTTTTACTCCCCCTTCAAGCTGGACTTTATTTTGTAGTCCAAGCTTGGAACAAAGAAAGTCATGTCTATTTACAGCAAGAGACTTAGTTAACAAATCTGCTAGCTGATATTCAGTAGAAACATGTTCAGTCTTCAGAAAACCAGCTTCTACCAGATCCCTCACATAATGCATATCCCTTTTAAGATGTTTCGTTTTCTCATGAAACATGGGATTTTGAGCTAAATGTTCTGCTGAAGTATTATCACAGGACAAAGTTACAGGTAACTCAATCTTCACCTGTAAGTCTTCCAGCAAATCATGAAGCCATTCCATTTCACTGTTAGTAACAGACATACTCCTGTATTCAGATTCAGCAGAAGACTTGCTTACACTCCTCTGCTTTTTGGTTTTCCATGAAACCAGACAAGAACCAAGAAACACAGTGTAAGCACTTAAAGATCTGCTGCTAAATTGACATCCACCCCAGTCTGCATCACTATAACCTTTCATCTCCAAGTCTGAATTAGCATAATACCAAAGACCAGAATTCATTGTACCCTTTTAAGGTACCTTAAAACATGCAAAACAGCTCTCAGATGAGGAGTCCTTGGGGCATGCATAAACTGACTGAGATGCTGAAACTAAATAGACAAAAAATCACTAACAACGTTCACCACTTGCATCTTATTATGTAACAAAGATGTCCAAGTCACCCTGCTGTGATCATCTAAAATAGTGAGAAAGTAAGAAGCACCATTCAAGGCCTTAACCCTATAAGGACCCCATAGATCTATATGTAAAGATCAAACACTGCATCAGCTCTACTAGTGCTAACATGAAAAGGAAATTTATGTTGCTTTGCATTGAAACAAACAGCACAATTATATTCCTTTAAACCAGTACAGTCACAAACATGTAATTGTTTCATCTTGGACAAGGATACATGTCCCAATCTAGCATGTAAAACATCCAAGCTAACCTTATTCTCCTTACTAATGTCACCAGTAGCAGTCTTATTTGGCAAAACAGAGATCTGTTTATTACCAACACTATTACAACAAACTGCATTGTTCTCATTAAAAACACTACCTGCAGCTTCAGTCTTCTCTGTCACCTCCTTAGTGAAATAATACAGACCATTCTGTCTTCTACCATGTCCAACCATCTCCTCATTAGAAGGGTCCTGAAAATAACACCCATTTCCAGTAAAGAAAACCTTTACTCCAGGCTGATCAATGAGTCTACCTATTGATGCTTAAATCCATCAACAAGCATAACATCTTTTAATGTCAGATTCCCATTCAAACACACATCACCCACCATTTTAACAAACTTGTATGTTCCATCAGGCAAAACAACTCTAATAGGTTTATCAAGAAACATCTTACACACAAACATTCTTTCATCAAATACCATATGATCAAAAGCACCAGAATCAACAATCCACAAACAATTTTCACCAGTTTTACTAACAGCACAAGTAAGAGAATCATTACCTGCAAAGTTAGCAAAAGTTGATCTAGTTTCACCAACTGACTGCTTCCCTTTCATAGTCTTCATTACTTCTTGACAAATAGCACTCAGCAAATCTGAACTGATCCTAGAATTATCAATGTTACCATCAGAATCAAGAGGAGAATCAGCATCTTGACTAGCATGAACATTTGCAGCAAACCTTTGCCCATTGGACTGTCCTCCAACTCTTTTACTACCCTTTATAGCATTATACCAATCAGGATAACCATGAATTTTGAAACAAGAATCAATAGTATGTCCTGTCTCTTTACAATGATCACATCTCTTACTGAATTTCTCCTTCTTCCAGTCTTAGAATAATTCTGACCAAACTTCTGCACACCATTCCTTATCATTCTCCGTGCAGCCATTGCACTAGACTCAGTAACATGTTCCACAGAACCACTGACTTCCTTTTGTTTCTCAATTTGTTGAGTAATTGAGAAGGCACGATTAATAGTTGGCAAAGGATCCATAGACAGAATATTAGTAATAGTTGAATCAAAACCACTATTAAGTCCAAGTAAAAACTGCATCAAACGATCTTCTCCTTCAAGATCAGCTAATTTCTTCAGAAATTGACAAGTACACCTAGTAAGAGCTCCACAAGTACAGGTAGGAAAAGCTCTCAAACTCTGCAATTCATCCCATAATTTCTTAATCTTGCAATAATAAGCAATAATACTTAGATTTTCTTGTTTCAAAGCATCAATCTCCTTCTTCAATTGATACACCAAAGGACCATTAGACTGACCAAATCTCTCATGCAATTCAGACCACAGTTCAATAGCAGAATCAATATATGCAAAATCATCAGCTAATTCAGCACTCATAGAACTCAAAATCCAACTAACTACCATATAGTCAGCTCTCTTCCATCTATGATAATCACTATGACTAACATCAGGTTCCTTCAAACTTCAAGTAATAAAGCCTTCCTTATTCTTAGCAACTAAAACACGTTTTACACTTCTACTCCATCGAATAAAATTTTGCCCAGAAAATTGAACAGCAACTAAAGAAGAAATCGGATTATCAGACGAAGCAATGAAAAAGGGATCAAGATTACCTCCAGTAGTCTGATTGCCACCATTATTACGAACCTGAGCTTCTTCAGCCGCCATTAAAACAGCTTCAAGTAAAAACTTCAAACAACTTCAAGATCGAAGTACAATCGAAGATGAACCCTAACTTCAAGAAATCCTCAATAAAAAAAATCACCGAGAAATTCAAGATACGCAAGAAGTTTCAATCAAAAAAAAATCGAAGAAACTTCGCAATCGAATTTCAGAAAACCAATTCCAGAAAACAGAGGAATCGATCAATGAAAAAAACGCAAACCCTAATCTCAGCTGAGATTAAAAGCTCCGATACCATATAGAAAATAGAAGGAAATTTGGAGAGAGAATCTGTAGGATTATATTTATGTAAAAGAGTAAAATGAAAATGTACCAATAAATGATGTTCTGACAAGCCTATTTATACAATGGTTAGTTATAACCAACTAACTAACTAACTTAATATTAAATATCATCTTATACTAGCTAATTTATTTGATTAACCATTAAGAAATGCAATTCCATTGCAATACCATACCAATTGATAGATGGATATATATGTAGATGTATCATGTATATATAGTAGTAATTGGTCTCAATATGATTGAGTAAAAACTAGACAATGTTTGCACAATTTTATTTTATTTTTTTTTTTTTAGGATGTAAAGTGAGCTGCAAGGGCAGTGGTGTCAAAGAGATTTGATCTATTTCAAATCTTGTATACCAGAATACCAGATTATCACCCTCAAGACTTAAACAAACTACTACCTCCGTTTCATATTATTTGCAACGATGACATATTAAAGTAGAGATGAAAAATGCCTAATCGCTGCAAAATAATTTGAAACGGAGATAGTATGATTATATCAGTAGATAATGTTAGGTTCAAACTATGAGATAGAATATCTAAAATCTGATTTATTGCTCAAAATGTGATATTTGTCCTGTTATTTTCTTTGTGAGACGTGGTTACTACAATACAGTGGCGGTTCTGGGCCGGAGCAAGGTGGTCGACGGAACAGGGCCCCCAAATTTGGGGGCCCCAAAATTTAGATATATATAATTAAGTTTGGCATAATATCTTAAAATTGTAGTTGGTGTAGTGGTTAGAGCAATTGTCTTGTGTATCCAAGGTCTTGGGTTCAAGACATGCATCAATCAATTTTCTAAATTTTTGGGTAGCTGACAGCTGGCTTGATACATTGAATGTAGACATGTATTCAATAGTCTCAAAAACTCCGCCCAAAAAAATCTGATTTCCTTTTTCGGTTTTTCCCCAAAAAATTTCAATCTATTATTTCAATTCCAAAAAAAACTCTACATCTTCTAAACTTTATATTTTTCATTTACTTTCTTTTTTTATCTTCTTCATTTTCTACAATTATTCAATTAATTTTCAAAATTTTCATCTCCCAAAATTAATTTTCCCAATATTAGTTCATATTTCAACGGTTAAATCTTCAATTTGAAGATGAAATTAATTATTAAACCGTTGTTAATCTCCCAATTTTTCCTATATATAAATTTTATTTACTCTTTCAAATTTAAGGCCCCATTTTAAAAAGTTAAACAGGACCCCATAAATAATTTGCAATTTTAGCCCCGGCACTGCTACAATACACATGGCTAATTATTCCACCATCCAATTCAAATTACTACTCAAAAACAAAATACAATGCATGGTCATGCAATAATACTGGCAAACTAGCTACTCTATCCGATCCTTCTTCAAATTAAAGTATACAAGCTAAGTATATATACAATTCAATATAAAACAAATTAAGTGCTTAAAAGTCATCTTAATTAATGATTAATAAAAATACGTGTCAGTTGATTTAGAGACCATATACTAGTATTATCCATTTAAAAATTAATCTCTAGCATATAATTATAAAAAAATATAAGTATCTTTGGATTTCCTTGTCATCTTATATTATAAATTTAATATCATAAAATACGGCAGCTTGTGTTTTGTTTGGTTGATGACGGCAGATAAATTCTGGGATACGTTTGTGTGTCACACATACAATCCCTCTATACTTTGCTAAGGCAGTTGAACAGAATTAAGTAGTGTATGGTTGGCTCTACTTCTCTTTTTTATTGTATGCTACAAGCTCCCTCTTTTCTCTACCTTTCCCACGTGTTTATGAAACTTTTGAATCTTCATTCCCTTTTTACATGAATTTTTTTGTACATATGTTATTACTCCATTCGTCGAGAGATTAATACTCGGTATCCATATTGAGTTAAGGATGATCAACCGGCCGATATAATTCAATCTTATACATGTTGGTTTTATTAACATTGTGACCTTATTAAGACTAATACTCTGTATTCATATCGAGTTAATGAGGATCAACTAGCCGATATATATAATTCTATCTTGTATACATCGATTTTATCATGTATATAACAATGTGAACTACTTATTAAACTAATAGTCGACTTTTATTCTACACAGTGTAGCATGTTTCTAGACTTCTCTTTCGGTAAAAAAAATGCTAATTAATGTACACAACATAACATCAAATCGATATAATAATTAAGTGATAAAAAATGTATTTTGTCATTCAAACTTACTAGTTAAATTAAGTTATCCAAACCCTAACTTATAATCAATCAGAGTAAAACATAATAATAATTAACATGATAAAAAATGTATTCTGTCATTTTTCATTGATCTATCACCACTACTTCACTCGAGTGTGTGGCATAAGGTATGCTTTGAAATCTCAGCATAATCGATTATTTGCTTTTTCTCTGTATATCCTAAATTAGTATATATGATAATCGATCTAATTGATGGTGTACGTATCTCCCAACACAGTCCTAACAAGTACTATAAGGCCAGGTCAAAACTTTTACATCATGCAAAAATGAGGCTGCGCAGTTACCTACCTTTGTCTACCTTCCTCCCAATACCTTTCAACTACCTTTTCCCCTTGTAAATATAAATACCACCTTCAACAAGCAAAGAAAACATTCCTGTTTTTACCAATCACAACATAATTTATCCAAATCATAAAATTTGTACAACTTCCCTCTTCAAATGGAATCAAGTGGGATAACTTATCTAGTATTACCCCGAGATCTTGTCCAACAACCATCAACCCTAATACCTAATTACAATACTAACAACGATGATGATGATTGTCGTCTGATGCAAATTTTCACTTCTGGTAATGGAGATGATAATCATGAGTTTATCCAAAACCACACATTTTCATCCAACCCTACATCTTCATTTACCAATAATAACATTATTAATGATAATAACAACATTAATAATAATGTTTCTTCTTCCTTAAACAACCTATTATACTCCCCATTAACCCCTAATTGCTCACAATTCCAAACCCCTCAAACTCCTCCTATTTTAGATAACATTGATTGGATTAACCTTTTCTCTTCAGCTTCAAATGATCATCAACAAAAGGGTCTTGAGCCGAGTCCGGTATCAGTAGGATCATCAACCGCATCAGCTCCAGCTAACCACAACCACTGCAACGATAATAGTAATAACGGTCAAACTACAGGAAGAGAAGATAAAGGGAAAACTACCCATTATAATGATTACAATAATAATAGTTCAAGTAGTAAAGTATCAAGATCAATAGCATGTTCTTCTAATTCTATGAAGAAAAAAGTTGTGCCTCCGAGGTTTTGCTTCCATACAAAAAGTACAGAAGATGTTCTTGATGATGGGTATAAATGGAGAAAATATGGACAGAAATCTGTCAAAAATAGCACCCACCCTAGGTTTGTCTTTTTATAAATTCTATATTATTCATCGTATTTTTGCATTTCTTTTATTTATTTATTTTTACGTTCTTGTCTAAACTTAAGTTAAATTTGTTAATACGTCTCTGCTTGATCTTCGTACTTGGAACCGTTCTTAATTTAGAGACAAAAATGTCAAAGTAGGAAGAGCAATATGAGATATTATTAGTGAGTGTAAGTCGCGTGACGTTTTATTATAATATCTAGTGTATTAGTACATGATGAATACTCGCTCTTGTGGCTCTCTAAACACCTAAAAAACATGGTGAATGGTAGGTTTATAAGGTAACTTATTTCTCTAACCTAGATCAGATCATCTGTAAATTGCATGCATGCCTAATTTATTTAAACTCTTTTTTCTTTTTTTTTTTGGTGGAAAAAAATATAAATTTCATAATTTTACAGATAATTGATTGGATAATAGTTGATGGAATATAAATATGGAGTATTAATTACAAAAAACAATGGGAACGTTTCTTCTGCAATATAATATATGTTAACAATAATCTTAATATGTTATGGAGTATATTGATAAAACCTTCTAGCTACATTAATACATTAGCTGTATTCTATTACTTCATATGAATCATGTCCTATCAAAATTCGATCTAATGAATTATAAGCACCAAAAAAAAAGTATATATTTAAAATAAAATTAAAATCAAAACATTATACATGCCTAAATGGAATATATTCATGTCTAATAATGAAGTACATGACAATAAGTATATGTAAATTAAAATTTAAAATTAATATTATAAAAGTATATAATATTTCTTGAGACATAAATATAAAGTATTATTATGAGATGTTAGTGTTTATGGCTATTATTGTCCCAAAGAGTTCTAGCATTTCTTTTGCTGTTACTAATCAACTTACACACACACAAAAAAAAAAGGTTTTGTGGTTGTCTATCTATTAGCTATAAATTCTGACAAGATTAATATTTTTAAACAATTTCTAATTAAATTAAATGTCAAACATTTTAGATGAGTTCGAACATACAATTCAATTTTATACTTCATGTATATAAGTTTAAATAGATAAACTAAATTCCGACAAGCATATCAACAGTCGAAGAGAATATAGTCTAATAAGTTATAATATGAAGCATTATGTTCCGTATATTACTAGGTAAAAAATTTCCATGGATTATTGGGTTGTTGTCTTATATACATTTGTTCGGAAAACAAGAATGATGATCGAATAAATTCATCTAGCCCTAACTTTAATTTTATTTTTAATCTTTAATTAAAGCCCTAACTTTTGTTCTTAATCTTTATGCTTTGCATGGTGAAGGAGCTATTATCGTTGCACATACCATACATGCAACGTAAAGAAACAGATACAACGACATTCAAGGGATAAAAGTATCGTTATTACAACATATGAAGGCATTCATAACCATCCTAGCGAGAAATTGATGGAGACTTTGAGCCCTCTTCTTAAGCAACTCCAATTCCTCTCGAGATTTTAATCTTATTGTAGTTCCATGTAATTATTTAGCTAATTAACACCATTAATTTGGTGCTTGTGCACATTAATTAGTAGTCTCCATTTATCGTTTCTTTTGTTGATAATTTACACAAAGTGCACACAGAAAATGGAAAAGAAAAGCAATGAAAATTATATACTTAATTAGCTTATACACGTACATGTTAAATGCGAATCAATTAAATTCCGTAGCTTTAATTCTTCATATTTTTGGCATAATACGTACAAGCTTTTGACTATCTTGTCGTCCCACCAAATTGGTAAATAATTGCGTCACTTAAGCCCTCAAAACTGTTAATTACAACTAACTAATATATATTACGGAGTTTTATACTTAAAGATTAATTTTTCTACACGGCCGCATGAGATCGAGTATTTAAGTGATACTTGTAAAATACAACTTATCTATGTTAATTGCTCTCCCTATTTTTATTTTATTTTTTTTCTTTTTTTCTTTTTTTCTTTTTTTCTTTTTTTCTTTTTTTCTTTTTTTCTTTTTTTCTTTTTTTCTTTTTTTCTTTTTTTTTAATTTTTTTTCTTTTTTTAATTTATTTTTTCGGGGAAATTGCTCTCCCTATTTAATTCTTTAGCCTAAAGAAACTTCCAGAATGCGCTAGTGCTGAAGAAAGATAGTTTGCTGCTTTCGTCCAAGTAAAAACTAAATCGAACGAAGATAAAACAAAGTCAAAAAAACAGGTCGTTGTAATATCTACGATCTATCCATTTCTATAATTCTAAGGGGTTGTGCACCAAATGTGAGGGTTTGGTGACCAGTAACTTTTTATTCTAAGTTGGTGAAGTTAAAGACTAAAGCCTAGCAAAAGATTAAAGAATATATGTAGACATGTAGTGGCGGTAGAAAACTATGAAAGTTAATGCAAACCTCAATTATATTTTTAAATTTTTAAATTGGAAACATATCGGTTATCGGGCATGGACGATGCCTCTGGTTATTACTTATATATATATATATATACGGGGAGGTTCCGCTAAAAACAGAGCTTATGGTGAAAACTAAAAACAAGCAATCTTAGCCATTCATTACTAGCACAAAAGATCAGACGGTTCTAAAGCCCTAAGATCATTCCAACCTTACATATAATCAATTCAACCGTTTTAAAGGTCTTTTTGTTTTTTTTTTTTTTTTTTTTTTGACAAACACAACGTTTTAAAGGTCACTACATGCTAAAATAAGGTAACTTTATCTAATTGACGATATTTACATAGAGTCACTATATATAAAAATAACATAACTATATACAAAAATAGGGTAGCTATATCAATTTTTACAATATTTACATTAAGGTCACTATATACAAAAATAGGGTAACTATTTCAATTTTGACCATATTTACATAGAGGTCACTATATGCAAAAATAGGGTAACTTTAACAATTTTTACAACATTTACATTAAGGTCACTATATACAAAATTAAAGTAACTATATCGACTGAGTTTTTGACACCATTTACATAAAGGTCACTATATACAAAAATAAAGGTCACTATATATAAAAATAAGGTGACTGAAACAAAATTTACAACATTTCCATAATTCTAAGGTCATTATATTGAAAATAGGTAACTATATATTAACTTCGGGTAATTATATCAATTTGACACCATTTACCCAGAGGTCAATAAATATAAAAATAAGTATTAAAAAAGTCTATGTAGGATTCGAACCTACATCCCGTGATTACACGGTGCTCGACCAATTGAGCTAATAGGCTTTCAACATGCCAAAACAGCCAATAAAAGCATACCAACATCATACAGACTGAAGCAAAACAAGCTTGACAAGATCAACGTTTCAAGAACAGAAGCAGAGGCAAATATAAGCATACCAAGATATCATGATACGAGCAAGCCACCTGTATATGAGGAATCCCAACTAAATGTAGATATTGAACAGGCAGGCACCAAAAATCATACAATCAGAGATAAATCTTCACAAAGGCTGAAGAAGGTTACTACACTAACTCCAGCTGACAAGGTAAGATCAGGCATGATAGAGCTCGCAATAACGCAAACTAGCATACTCGAATTCTAGGAATAAATTTCTAAAGACACGCTTCTACCATTTAACAGATACAAGCCTATGAGGCTATGATTCACAAAACAATACATGTCTAGCTCGATATCAGAGTGCACTTAGATTCTGGTACCATTACCTCAAAAGAAAGTCTATAGTAGGATAACAATACAATTGACCACTTGGTACTAACATTTAACTCTCTGACTCTCTGAGTGGAATAATAACAATAACTCAAATGTCTAGACTGTCATGGATGAACTGCACTACTGTTCGAATAAAATCTTAAATGAAAATGTACAAATCTGCTGCAGAATTAAACAAAATATCGTTCACAATCACAAGCAGAACTTAACCAATCACATTCTTTCTTATACACAACATATAACAACCCATTAATAGGCAAAATCACATATCTAGACATCACAGCACACAGGAGTGAAATCAACACGCTCACAATCACAAGCAGAACTTTCACCCAATCACACACCTATACACAAACGAGCAGCTTACAGTCCATTCACAAAAGAGCAGCTTACTGTCCAATTATAGGTTGTATATATAAACAATTTCTACGGCAATACAAAAGCAAGGAAATCACATTTATGACAATCAGACTAAATACATCAATAAAATGCAGCAACATTAGAAAAATATCATCAAAATAATCAAATAAAACATCAAGTTCAGAAAATTTGATGATGAAATTGAAAATCGAACACAAAGTGATAAACTAAGCCGAAAAAATCGAGTGCCTATGATGAATAAAAACAAAACCAATCAAAGAGTGGGAAAAGACAACAACTTGAAAATTTCTACTAGGTATTTCATCGAACAGGTGGTGTGAACTATCAAAATATTGAATGAGCAGAGCACAAAACCTCCATTGAAACTCAAATATCCAAAAAAAAAATGTGAAAAATAACTCAAATCTATCATCAAACTCAATAAATTTAGGAAGAGGGAACAATTTCGATCAGATTAAAATATTCTGGTCGTCGCATGCACAAATACACATTATTAACACATCGTAAATTGGACAATCAAGTTAAAGAAATAAACAATAATACAGATTAAATATTTCTACTGGGCATTTCGTCGAACAGGTTGTGGACACTATAAAAAATAATGCATGAACACTAAACTTCCATTGAAGCTAAATCTGCAACAAGATAACAACTCAAACCAAAAAATGTGTACAAAATCGATTTCATACCATCATAGTCTTACAGAAAGATAACAACATAACAACAAAGTAAACAATTTGTATGGTTAATCAACAATCATAAGCTTACCACCACTCATTTTCTTCGTTCTTCTCTATCTCTTCCTTTACAATCACATGCATCTACTCTTACATCTTTCGCAACCTATAATATACAAGCACAAAATCAAATCAGCACAAAAAAAAAATCAATTCACACGCTCAAAGTTTTAGAATCGGATGGGAAAAATTGAGATTCTGAGAGAGGTTGAGTAATTACATAAAAGCCTAATCTACTAAAATCAAGAAAAATTACACAAAATGCAGCTCAAAACTACTCCTATGAAGCTAAATTTGAAATCGAAAGTAAAAAAATTGAAATCGTAAAATCAGTTTGATTTTCTGTAGGAAAAGTACAAGACACAAAATTAAACATAAATTAAAAACCTAGAAATAACATCATAGCTCACATAATAGATTGTTAATTGAGAAATTGAACAAAATCGAATAGGAAATCGCAAAATCAAACAAAATCGAACAAAATTTATATTCTATTCAAGAATAGAATTGAAACAGCGAATTTTGATTTTAAAATTGATAGAGTAAGAAGATGAAGATGAAGATGATATCAAACCAGAGGAAGATCGGAGATTTCTGGATTCGGAGAGTTCAAGATCTTCAAGAAATTGGGGGAAAAAATGTCGAGAAATTAGGAGAGAGGAGAGAGAAGGAGGAGAGATAAATCTGACGGCTTATAACGCGAGTTTCATCTAATCCATCCGATACAAATCTGACGGTCATAATCATCCGTTTTCAGTTTTCACACTAAGATTTGTTTTCACATGATCCACACTCTATATATATATATATATATATTATATATATATATATATATATATATATATTATATATATATATATATATATTATATATATATATATATATATATATATATATATATATATATATATATATATATATATATATATATATATATATATATATATATATATATATCATCATTATGAATGATATTACTTTTATTGATTTCTTTTATTTGCATAAAAAGACACAAAACAATGATATATAAGGTTCAACGGTGTACTTAAAAAAAAAAGTTCAACGGTTAAGCTTCTAATGTTAATCCGACCTTGACTACAAGGCTTCAATTCTTATCAAGTTACGTTTCCATTTTTATAATGTGTGATGATATGAAATGATAACCAACAAAGCTGGGAGAGTGTCATGTAACAAGTGGACTTATTTCAAAACACTTTTTAATACAATATATAGATTTCTTTGACCTACATGTTAGTCAACACACAAATTTTTCATTAAAATTATTTAAAAGACGGTTATTCAAAAAAATAAGGATTTTAAAGGTAGTTTCTCATAAAATTTCCCAAAAAAAAAAAATTATATCACATGTGACTCTTTCAAGGTTAAATTTGTACTCAATGATACTCCGACTACTAAAAGACTTATAATCAAAATTAGTACGTAGTGAAAAAACAAGTCGAACATACTTCGTATTAATTTGAGACAGAGAGAGTAAATACTAGTAGATCATTTCTTTTTATATGGAGTCCAAATTTCAGCCAGCCCACCAAAAACAACCTCACTGTCCAGCCCACTAAGTAAGACCCAGTCCACCTCAATGACTACGGACTTGACTTACCTGATCACCGTCGCACACCGGAATTGATGAGAGAGAAACACAAAATCAGTGATCAAGGAAAATAGCGATGACGTGTAGATCGATCGTCGGAATTTGGCCGAAAACTCCGCCGTCTCACCGCATCACCGCCGTCGCTGTTATCGACGAACCGCCGTCTCTTTACACCGGCGCCGCCGATGGCTCCGTCGTATGGTGGCATTTCTCCGACGATACCTCTTCTCCGGTCAGCCCCTCTCTCTCACTCATTTTCATGTCCACGACTGTTTGATGAATTGACCAACTAAATTCAATCAAATTTCTGTTAATTCATACATTTTTTACTTCTTTTTGCATATATTGCAACATTTTATTGAAGTTTCGTAATAATTGCAACATTTTATTGAAGTTTCGTATTAATCGCAATGTTTCTGTATTTGTACATGTTTAACTTAGTAATCAATATCTATACTATTGGCATTTCAAACCAATGCTTGGAATTCATGAAAATAGCACATTTGATTTGTTTTGTTTGAGATTGGTGATTAGTTTTGGTGAATTGTGTTTGGTTGCAGAAGATTAAGCCTGTTGCTATGTTATGTGGTCATGTTGCGCCAATCGCTGATCTTTGCATTGCTTATTCTCTTTTATCGAAGTTTCGTAATAATTGCAACATTTTATTGAAGTTTCGTATTAATTGCAATGCTTCCGTACTTGGACATGCTTAATTTAGTAATCAATATCTATACTATTGGCAATTCAATTCAATGCTTGGAATTCATGAAAATAACACAGTTGATTTGATTTGTTTGAGATTGGTGATTAGTTTTGGTGAATTGTGTTTGGTTGCAGAAGATTAAGCCTGTTGCTATGTTATGTGGTCATGTTGCACCAATCGCTGATCTTTGCATTGCTTATCCTCTTTTACCTTCGTTAGATGAAAAGGTTGATAGTGATGATAGTGGTGTAGGGTTTGACAGTCTGCCTGGTAGCGATCAGGCTGCATTAGTAAGTGTGTGTAGTGATGGTTTATTGTGTGTTTGGAGTCGAGGGAGTGGACATTGTAGGTGCCGAAGGAAGTTGCCTGCTTGGGTTGGTAGTCCATCCATTGTTCAGGTATTACCGACGAATAGGAGATATGTATGTGTGGCTTCGTGTTTTGCTGATAATTCACGTGGTTCGGATGCTGAATATGTGGATACGACTGAAGGGGGTGAGGTTCCTGGGGATGAGGAATCTCTGAGCAGAAAACCACTGAAA